AGTTTCTCATCTGTGTAATTTCGGAATTTACGAGAGTTTCTTTGACCCCACTTCCTGTTTTCCTTCCCATTTCTGGATTCCCTTTGTTAGCTCAAACTCTGGAAAGAATCTCACTTTTCTGGCAATTACCTGAGACATGCTAATTATCCCGATTTGGCTCAGTCACCCATTTGGAACACTGAACTTCCTTCTTGGTGATAAGTGCTACTATCCCTCCTCCTTCCTCCCTCCCCTACTGCTCAGTTCATCGCCGCCAGAAGATGCACCGCAGTTTGCACCCTGTCCTTCTCACGCCTCACTTTTTGCTGAGAACTTCAGGCGTTTTACTCCTGCATGAAGAAAAAAGCACTTTTCAGAAGATATCTGGAAACACATAGACTTGGAGTTCTTCTTTCCCCTATATCACAACAATTTGTTCACTAGCAGAGGAGACCTTGTTTCACATAGCTGGAGAATCACAGAACTGAGGGATCGCAGAATCGTTGGAAATCGCTAAAGAGAGTAAATTCCGCCTATTTTCTATTTGGGCGGGGTCGATGAAATCTGTCTGTACTTGATGCCTTCTGCGGTTGCCTCCGCAATACTCCCAAACGCGCAGAGCACCGGTATCAAGCCTTCTCGTCAAGTCTTCCCGCGATCCCGCGTTTTTACAACTTCCGCGATACTTCATGTCGATACGTCGACATTCCCCTTTCCCCGATTCTTAGCTACTTCAACAAAATTCTCTGTATGATTGGCCAAACGACTACCTCATATAGCTACCTCACGAAAGCGATTTCATATAGAATAACGATGGTGATTAGCTTCTCTCTTCTTGCAACTTCGCCATGTCACTCGTAGATGTGTGACTTTTGGGTGCCTTACGAAGCTGTTAGCTCAAACATTTATTCAATATATTCTAAACAGAACCATCTTCAGAGACTGACCATTCCACCCTGTAATACGAAGCCCGCTTTCACACGAGAGCGCTCGCCCGTCGCAAAAAAAACCCTCCGCAAAAAAGCACATCTTTTGCAGGCCACCGTGGAAAAAAAGACTCCAGTGACTTTTTGCAACTGATTCACGTTCTCTCACAGCAGCGGATTTTTCCGCTTGAATGGTGGAACCGTCGGCCTCTGATGACGACTCAACTGAAACGTCAGGCAGCACAGTTCACCGACGTGGGGAGGCGAGGACTGATGCCGTTTAAGCGTACTCAGTTTTAGTTGTTGGCGGTATTTACGAAGCGGTGTGACCGATTGTGTACAACCCCCCATACTCCACTTCCCCAACCCTCAACGCTAAGGCTGAGTTTAGTAGGTTCCCTTCATTTTAGGGTCACCCTTAGCAGAACGCAGATGATCGTAGTGCCCCCCCCCCTCATAGCGGCAGCACCAGGAATGAATGTCGTACTTCACGACAAGCTCGCTTCAGCTTCACAAGAACTCCCCAGCCTCACCAGACTGAGACTTATAGAGCGGAACTAGTGAAGCAGAAAAAGTGCAAAATGCTCCCGTAGCCGAACTGCGCCTGTGAGGCCATATTGAATAAGCGGTCTAAATAACAAGCTTGTAAGGCACAAAACAAGTTAAACACCAGCATCGTGATTGTTACGACATTTGGACATTTGCCAAAACATTTTAGTACCTTAGGGCCTAAATGGTTTGACCCACCGTTTTTATTCGTTTATCGGAGATCTATGGACAAATCTGCAATGCGAAAGCTGTGTAAAGCGTATCCCTGCTTATCTCTCAAAATCCCACCAATAAAAACGCTTTATTATTACACAACTAAAACAGTTGACACCACTAGGATCGACGTTTTCTTCTTTTTTCACACGACAATTAACTATATTCTAAGTTGTCAAACAAATAGTACATCTAAATTTAATTTACAAGGCCTAATCGTAGTCCTCAGTTTCCTCCATGGCTTCAGTATGGTAGATTGAAGTATGCTTGGCCAGAATACGAAGTAACGGTCGCAACTTCAACCACCATTGGTCGCAAGGCAAACGCTTGTCAAAGTCCGTTTCAGCGGCTAATTCCTCTACCGGAGTGAACACCTGGAACAATGCTAGGTTTAACCCAAAAACGTCCATCGGCACTAAAAAATTTTCTTCATTGAGAACCCCTCAGAAAAACTCTCAATTTCAGGTGGATTCTTACCAGCGATGCCTCATCTAATTATGGGACTATGAGTGTGGGGTAGGAGATTCGCGTTGCGGCAAAATCTGCGTTACAAGCAGTGCAAAGCGCACAAAATTCGCACCAAGACCTACTTAGGTTTACGTGGAATCAATGTCGTAGGTCTAATCTACCAGCTAGAAATGCTTTGTAGTTTCTCGGAGTCCCTACACGCAGACCTCCCATACGGTCGTGAATCAGTAATCATGGTGACACAGAATCTCGGCGTTGTGCCAAATTTTTTTAGATGGGTTCACTACGAACCCAAATACCGTGAATAAGCCTCTCACATAATTATCCTAACCTACAGCTAACGACGCTACAGTAGGGAACGAGAAAAGTACACCATACTCACCACACGCCTTCCAGTCAAACCAAGAAGACTATCTCAGGGCGGTGCTCGCTGCGGATGATGGGGCGTGTCGGTGAGACGTTTGGCGGGCCGCCAGCTCTTTTCCTCCACTTGTTGAAGCAGCCAAACAGCAACAGTTGGTGGGAAATGATTGCTACCAACGACATAATTCAGTTTGTCACTTGCTCGCTTCAACACCTGGTGAAAAACGGATTTTACGCCGCCCCCAACCCAGTCCTCCTGGCATGTCCCCTTATCTGCCGCGAACAAGACTGTATCCAAGTCTCCATTCAAAAATCCACGGGAATATGACACAATTTCCTGATCAGTCAGTGATAAATAACGTCAATCGGTATTCCCTTCCTCCTAATCTATTTGTAGAAGCCTATAAACCATTTGCTAGGCACTGCCTTCCCTATCCCCCTCCCTGAAACTTTTCGGGCCCCACATCGTCGCACGTGCCCTTGGGAGACAGAACTTTGGTGTTCTTCTTTCACAATGCGCACATGTTTGGATGTTTGAAGCTGTTATTCCCACGTCCGCAGTTGTGTGTAATCGGGCACTTGTGGCAGAGACGCCGACATTGAGCGTGAATTGGGCACAAGCTGCTCTGTCTCTCTGTCTCCGCATCTGCATAATTCCTGCTCGAGCTAGGCATTCATGAGAAACGTCATGCAAATATGTCAAGGCAACGGACTCATAAAGCCAAGTATCAAAAAACAAGCGTCTTTCCGCTGATAAGCCGCATTTCTCCCCTATTCATGGCTTTGGCGCAGCACATGTTTACCAGAACTTTTACTGCTCATCGATGGAAATGTTCCTCCGAAGCTTGATACTATTCACCATTTACTGCCCGCCCCCGTCGCAATTCAGGTTACCTCTTTATCGGAATTCGTCATCCCGAGTAGATTCGCCAAAGTTTTCTGCCCAGGGATATTCTCACCACTGAACGAATAACTCATCCATTCAAAGCGAAAATGCATGGCACCTGCACCACAGGTCAATTTTGGCGATGGCGCCAGTAACGCACGTGACAAGCGTTATCGCGCAAAGCAAATTTGCCGTGCGCTTCCAAGGAACATTACTGGAGACAAATAAAGCAAACAAGCGGAGATAACAGGTCAGCCAAAGCTACTTATCTACTGAGAGTTCGAGCGAAATTTGAGTGAGTTCCAAAAAATGAAGCATAGAGGAGTAAAAAAGGTAATTATGAAGAAATCAACTTCAGCGGCGACAAAGTACACTCTAGTTCGCTGCGGACGGTTGGGCGTGTCAGGCAGTATGAGTGTGTCACCCCGTCAAAGCCGTTCTCTGCCTTCTTGTTGAAGCGCGCATGCGACAAAAAGTGGTAGAAAACGAGTAATACGAACGATATGATACAGTCATATCATTTGCTCGCTTTAACAACTGGTGGAGAACGGGTTTGGCACCGCGCCAAACTCATCCCGCCTGACACGCCCAAGCCGTCCGCAACGAACTACACTATACTATCCCTGTGAAGCGCCATGCGGAAAAAAGTTGCATGAAGTGTAATCACCCTCTATAATAAATAACTGGACTTGAAATTTCTCAATCTTACCTCTCCTTTACCTTCCTCGGCGAACAGCTGCTTGACGAACTCCGTCGTAAAGTTCTTGTTCGCAAACTCATTTCTTACAATGAGGTACCGCTGAACTCCTTGAGCCATTTTGGCGGCAATGACCTGAAAATAGAATTTTAAGCAGCATGACATAAGAAAAATCGCTAATCGGTTGCCGTGAAAGAAACTTTTAGAAACTTACTTCAACGTCTTCAATAATATCTTCAACAGTGAACTTCTCCTCAAAGATGTAAGCATTGTCAGCTCCAGAGGCAAGGGCAGAAAGTGTGGCCAGATAACCGCAATAACCTCCCATAGTCTCAATGATGAACACCCTAAAATTCAAATTGCAATATGTGAAAATACAGTAACTTTAGACCATGTTCCACAGCTACCTTCGTTTAGTTCCTGTTGCGGATTGCTTGATTTTGTCGATCATTGTACAGATTTCATTGATAGCCGTATCAGAACCTAGCGAAATCGAAGTACCTGAAAGTGTTTACTAGTACTAACTGACAGTTAGCAAACAGTTTACTCACCTGTGATAATAAAGGATTTGGAATTTCTTTGAACAAGTCTTCTTGTCACTATTGTAAGCATTCCTTTCTCAAACTTTTTTGCTTCCAAACTCTCAAATGCTAACGACATTCAAGGCCGCAAGCCCTTCTTCGAGCCTTACGGACCGAAACGTTGCCAGAGAAACAAAAGGCAAGAGATCGATCTCAGCCAGTTACAAGAAGTTTGTTCACTTGTGTAGGTATAAAATGACATACAACTGAAGTTTCATTCTGTACTCAAAGGCAGTGAGCACGATTGCCGGAGGCGGACCGTTGTTAACAGCGTCATTGGTGGAAGGGCTGCGAGAGGGCGTCCGTTCGCACCTCACTTCACCCTCCCACTAATGACACCGGCGACAACTGCCCGCCCAGAGCGATCGTGCACACTGCCCTTAAACAATGTTCCAAATGGTGAAGTTCAGAGAAACATCGTAGTTTCCGAGCTTCTTCACTTACAAAAATTCTTATATTTATCGATGGGAAAGTTCGATAATCCGTAATAGAAAATTTTGCACTCACCCGGAACATTGTTGCTGATGGTACATGGTATGACACATAACGGTATGCAAAACTCGGGATATCTATCACGGTTTTTCGATAGAATCAGGGTAGAATGGTAGGCCTGAAAACAAAAATCACATTCAAAACATTCGATGAACATTCCCGTGCCAACAAGCTTTTTAGCAACATCGATTGAGTCAATTAATCCTCTCAAAATCCACAATGATCCCTTACAAACCAGCTTTCGTCAATATCACCCCAACAGCCTCAAATTAGATACCGTAAACCGCTCGTGAAGCATCACACAATCCGGAGCTGTAGTTTTACACGGCTCATAAGGCAAATTAAGCAACGAGAACTGCTCCTCACACTCTCTCACTTCCCCATATTCCTTTGATAACAAGCACAGCTCGTTCCAAGGAAGCCCTGGTACTAGAACTTATTGAAATCGAAAGGGCGTAAAATGTTCGAAATGTGACGGCAACACGTTCAATTTCCACGTTAAAAACCTTCAAGTTCAGGACGTCTGCAGTTGACAGGTTGTATATAAGGGCCGCAAAACGCTAGCCGAAGTCTCATCCCAACCTTGTCAGCTCTTCTCTGTCGCCCCAATATTACAATCCATAAGCTCTTACTTCAGCTCTGTTCCAAAGTCTAACAATAATTCGACTGTTTCACAACTAAGTAAAGCTTCAAAAGCTAATTGCCCCTTTTTAAAGAAAGTTGCCCAAATTTTCGGAGTTTCTAGGGCATTGCGATATATTTAGGAGTTCATATTACTAATAAATCCGCAGATTATCGAGTAACCAACACTAGTTTTGCAGAGATGCTGGAACTCTACCTAATAATGCTCATCATTAATACACAGTTGCTTTACGCCGACGCTCTTCCATTCTTCACCATCAACAAAGTTAGTAATTTAGTAAAAGTACACGATAAATAGGAGGCTGGAAAAACTCCATTTGTCGCCACCTCAGTAAATCTCTTCAACTTGGAGTTCCCCGACTTCAAGGAAGTTGCAAAGGCAGACGTCTATACCGGCGTTATGTAACAAACCAGTACTTGCTCGGACATCGGGTGTGACAAAGCATACCTTATTCATAGCACGTCAGTGATGGGGAGACCACTTCAGAAACATACAGTCTTGTTCGCTGCGGATGACGGGGCGTGTCAGCCGGTATAGCTTGGCGCGGTGCCGAACCTGTTTCCCCACCAGTTATTGAAGCGAGCAAGCGTATCTGCCATTTCCACCAATCGTAGTCGCTTGTATGCTTCAACAACTGATGGAGAACGAGCTGGTGGCGCGCCAAATCCAGGATCACTGACACGCCCCATCATCTAAAGCGAACTAGACTGTATGCTCTTTCCACTTGATTTCTCAGGTATCTTCTATGTTAGACGGCATCAAGAGGTAGAAATGCACCCTTTCCTTTCTCATTTTACCTGGGCTTATTTTCAGATACTTATTTCCAGATAACATGACCCGACAACAATATCTACTGAGGTAGCGACCATGTGATGACGTGTAGATGATTGCGGCCTCATAATATAATACATGACTACATTACAACCATAACTTCTGCGAGAACTGACACTAAAATGGGGATGTACAACGAAAATTGCCGTTTTTTTCACAGAAAAAAGGGGAGGGTGTATTTCGGGACATGTGCAGATACTAGTTTCTCATGTGTCCTCAAATTCTGTCAGACTGTCGCACCAGGGATACCAGGCTCTTTGGCTGTGCGAGCTATAAAATCAATCAAGAACCATAGCGACCTTGTCTGCTAAGCAGGGCGCCTGGTATCTTTCACCATAACGGTGACACTCTCTGGGAGCTAGAATGCAAAAGACTCAATAGTGGGAAACAGCTGCTTTGGAACGCGATTACTGTGGGAGTTCCTGAACTCAGCGAGGATGAGGGATGGCTTCACACTGTCACGGGCGCGGACGCTGAGGTGGCTCGCTTACTCGTCCTTAGAGGAACACTCAGGAACATAACATCGGGTGTCTCCGTGCACTTTGCCTCCTTGTGCGGAATAACCTTAAACTTTACGTGCATTTTAGGCATTATCTGGAAGTTCTGATGACGGCCTTCGGAAGCTATGGCTTCCTTTAAAAGGCTGCCTCAGTCCAGCGAGGCCGGTAAACGCACCCCAACGTGATTAAAGGACGCAGACCCTTATATTCAGAGCTTACGCTTAAAGGATGGTAAAAGTAAACGAACTAAGCTACACAAGCGGAGTATCTTTTTTACCTCTCGTCCCCTATCCTGTACTTTCACTAGGCAGCGCTCAGGCTTCGCGACGGCAGCGCTTCGGTCGCGCGTTTGACGCGATCGATGCAGAGCGCATCGATCGCGCCGAATGCACGACCGAGGCGTTGCCGTCGCGAAGTCTGAACGCTGCCTTAGATAGTTGTTCCAAAGTCCCACTTATTTTCTAATTTGAATATGTCGTACGGTAAAATATACGTATGATTCTAGAACCCGGACGTTAAGCAATGGCACATGCTGCTTGCTAACGATAACAACAGCGACGATTCGAAGTACGTCTACACCGGAATGCGTGGATGATCGAAACCTCGCCCTGATGGGGGAATCTGAATCTCGTAGTGTCATGATGAATCTTATCATATCGAGCTGAATCCTGTGGTACCGAACATAACTCATGTGTGGATAAATCGTTCTGCGTCAACATTTCAAACACTAATAATCCCGAAGCTTAACAAATTTTCAGTCGCGGAAAGAGACGGAAGTGCAAACACTTCAGCGAAAAGTACAGTCTTCTTGAACCGCAAACCTGCTGCTATTCTAACAAAATGTAGACTTAACAAATGAAAAAAAAAGAAAATACCACCTCAAATCCTCCGACAAGCAGAAGGGCTTGAATATTATGCTTTCTGAGCTGTTCTGCAATTAGTGGAACGTTCTTTTCGTTGGGAAGTTGCTTTTGAGTGCCCAGGAATGAGCCGCCATGCATCACCCAGTTGGTCACGTCTCCCCATTGGAATTTCTGAAAACATAATGAAAAATAACTGGATTGTTCTCGTAGAATAACAGTTCTCATCGAAGCGAAAACCATATAATGTCTAGTTCCCTACAGGGGGCACGTCAAATGGGATGAGTTTGGCGCGGTGGCAAACCCGTTTCCACTACTTGTTTAAGTGTGAAGTGGCATACTGTACCATATGTTTCGTATCAATCGCTTTCTATCAATCGTTGTTGCATAACAGCTTCAACAAGTGGTAAAGAACAGGTTTGGGGTTGTGGCACACTCATACCGTCTGACACGCTCCTTTATCCGCAGCGAACTAGAGTATACCTTGAAAGCTCCATTTGCAAGACCTTCAAACGAGTCTTCGATACCGTAAACTGTACAGTGATGGTACAGCGCCATACGCACAAATGATCGTACAGCTGCGTTCATACCTGAACTACTAAGAATAATGGAGTTGTAAGGATTCAAACTAATTATAGGCATATTTAGTAGCGAGGTCTAGTTGCTATGGGATTTAAAGTTTTCAAAGCTAATTTCATTACAGTATTGGCGATGCTTGGAGTAAAATTCAAGCCACTGATGGGCTGACTGAATTTAACGTTGCTTTTGCAAAAATAGGGACTAGTGAAGTTGTAACATGTCATTATCGAGCACGTAAGATTGGATCGAAATGTAAGGCTTTCCATGAATTTTGGGATCCTCGAGACCACCCGGGAAGCTGGCTTAGGAGTTCTCATAATGAGGAATCTAATACGGAGCAGTCCGAATCAGTCCCACTGCCTGTTTCCGGGTGGTCTTGAAGACGGATCTGCTTTACTGGCCATTCCGCCGGAACGTAGGGCACTAATGCTGATCTTGGCATCATTGAAACCACCTGAAGCTGGTAATAGGAGGAGAATGATAGAAGGAAAGTGGAACAATCATAGTCAGTCCTGCGGTCGGCTTCCGGGGGCTTCGAACATAGCAGATCTGCTTTACGGTCCTGATGAACGCAATCCCGCCGAAAAGTAGGGTACTGAAGTGACTTACAAAGCGTGGAAGCCGTCACGAAACGCTGATTTACCAACAAAAGCCTTGACTTCCAATGGGACTCAAACCCGCACCTCACCCTTTGCCGCGGGACGCTTCTTATCGTCCCAGAGTAATGGCTTTGAAGCGATCGAGGCCTGCACTCGAATGGGAAGCGCAAGGTAGGCAGCGTTCAGACTTCGCGACGGCAGCGCTTCGGTCGCGCGTTCGACGCGATCGATGCAGTCGAAAGCATGCGCATCGATCGTCGAATCGCGCGACCGAAGCGCTGCCGTCGCGAAGTCTGAACGCTGCCGTACGGAATCGACGCCCATTCGGGGTGCAATCTGTCCATAATCATTCTTGTCAAGAATTTTGGAGCGCGAACTGTGAGATACTACACAGCAGTTGTCAAAGTTTGAAAAGTCTCAAAAGCCAAAACCGTAATCTTGCAATTTTATCTAGTAACTCTCCACAAATGAGACTTTGTTCGAGAGTACCGCCACACTACGAAGTGAAATAATTCAGTGATGTCTGAGTAGCGAATAAAAATGCAAGCCTTGCCCTCTTCGAACTCAAACCCCAGAGACATACCTCCAGCAGGAGCACCGACGTTCATCACTGCAACGTTGAAATTCTGACCACCGGAAAGATTGTCTTTTTCCACTGTACGCAGTTTTGTTAGTAATTTGTAGGTTTCAAGATTGCGTTGGAAGCTTCGTCCACGCAATTTCACTGCAAGATCCCAATCTTTCTCGTTCATCGCTTTTTGTACCTGTAAAGTGAAGCAGATAAGACCCAATCCTGGAAAAAAGGATTTGCCCTTTGATAAGCTGAACCCCACAAAACCCTCATAGTAAAGCCGATAAAACCGAAGAAGGCTCTTCAGCAGATTTTTCAGCGCTGAGAACGCGCTAGAAGAATATTGCTGGGCGACAAC